AAATAGTAATAATTCAATAATAACACTTACGTCCTCGTCGAGATAGATCTTTTAGACAATTCATAACGTTGCTTGCTGTTGATGCGTCAAGTCCTGTCAACAATAAAATCATTCATTATACATAACGGGATTTAATGAAATACGAATTTTAACATTATTTTCTCTTCAATAGTCATACTAATTAGTAATAAAAGATTTCCTTTTCTTAAGTATTATTTGATCAATAAAATTCATATACTTAACTATCTGATTTCTGTTTTACTAATTCTAACTCATTATTTTTTATCATAGATTGAACTGATTCTTCTATCGATTATCATGCTGAATTAGTCAGTATAGTGTCTAACTGTTATCAACGAAAAATCTATCATAATAATGTTCTTAGTTATTTACTGATTGAAACTGTTATTATTGAATTTTTCGAGATGAAAAATTTATTTCAATGATCTCAATATAAGAATTGAGAATGGTAAAGTTTTAAAGTGCTAATCTAAAGTCTGGCATATATAAAAATTCGAATGAAGTCAAATCGTTTCATATCTATTTTTGTGAAAACATGTTACCAACAATTGTAATTACAAATATCGATGTACAAAAATGAAGTTACAAATCTAACAAAATTGTCAACTTCGAAGAACTACTTCTTAAGATATCAAAGAATTTTTGACTTATTTAGCTAGTTTGATAATCAGTTTTCAATTTGATGTTTTTCGCCAGTCTAATACAAGTTGTACGATCAAATTAGTCACCTAACATCATACTTGTTTCTTACAAATAGCATATCTCTGATATAAGAGACAAGGAAGTTGTAATTAATTGATAAAGAAGATTCATCAACTCTTTCAAACATAACATCTTGTCCATCGATATTGATAGTATAATTTGATATTGAAATTCATCTTTTAGATGATTATAATCAAGCTCGAACGAACATTGACTTTAAGAACTTTAGTAGATGATTTATATGTGACTTATATACCCTTCTTACCTGTTGTTGGTTCATCAAGAAACAAGATCTTAGGTGATAAAACTAATTCCATACCAATACAAGTTCTTTTCTTTTCACCACCAGAGACGCCTCGAAGAATTTCTGTGCCCACGCGTGTATCAGCACAAGCTTCAAGACCAAGCTCACTAATAACACGAGCAACACAATCGTTTTTTTTACTTATTGATACTTCTTTTGGCATACGAAGATTAATCGAAAAAGATAGATTTTCTCGAACTGTTAATGTACCACTACAAATATCTTCTTGAACGACATAACCAACTGTGTATCGAAAAGATGGATGTCGTGGTTCATTGTCGACTAGTATGAGTCCAGACATGCCTTTCGGATCTTTTCGATCAGCCAATATATCAAGTAATGAGGATTTTCCACATCCCGAAGGACCTTTTCAAATTAAAATCAATCAATAGTTTTCTAGAAGAAATGTAAACGAGATTTTACCAAGTATAGCATTCATTCCATTCATGAATTTTCCTGATACATCGAAGAGAACTTGTTTTAGTTCTGAAGCTTTGAAGAATGGAAGAGTCAAATTTTTCGAACATCGTTTGCTTGATTCTGCTTTGGCTCCAATGATATAATTAATGTTATGAAATGAAAGTGTAGCTGGAGCATTTTCAGGGATTGACACTAGATCAACACTGGTCTTGGGGCGAATTGATAATGAACGTTTTGTTACAATGTCATAAGGAGAAGAACCAATTGTAATGGATGAAGTTGTGGACTCAATTGATGTAAGTGTGGTTGGAGGGAAATTAATGTGCGAATTCATTCGTCTATAAGAATAATGGAAAATGAAGAGGAAAACTTTGAAATCCTTATTTTTAAGTTTTTTCTGCTCTCTATATATTCTCTTATTATGAATGCAATAATCGTTATAACCGAAAGAGTTCAAATACAATACTAAGTAGCTCGTATAAAAGTTTTAAAAAAGGTTTTATTGGTTTGTGCTGAGTGTAAAGAATAATTTTCGATATTGGTCTACAATGCTGTACACATTCCTTCGTCACCGTTTTTGCCACTTCTATTCACAGCTTCTCTCAAGAGGAAGAAAAGCACAACAAAATGAAGAAAACAATAAGAATACTTTATGTATCTAATACGGTAATGACGTAAAGAGAAATATTAAGTCATTATTTTGAATTCAACTTAGTTTTCAGGGAATCAAAAACATGTTATCATTACTCGATGTAAAAGTTTTAAGAAACGTTGCATACATTTCACTTAAAAAAAAAGACTTTATTACTGAACTTACAAAAATCCATAACAGATAACGAAATGTAGAAGAGATCCTTCTCTCGTATAGAAATATAGATCTTTTTCAAATGTCATATTAAGTTCTTAGAGAAAAAAAAAATGAATCACACAGAAGAATACAAAAAGTTTCGAAAAGAATGTTTTGTGTTCCAGTCGGATATTAGAAAGAACTTACGTCGTTGTGCGAACTTTGTTTTGTCGTAAAGAAACTGTAACAATTCTTTAGAGATCTTATGCATTTGCATTTACAAGAAGAAATATTTGAGATTCTACAGTTTGTGTGGTACCTTCATAGGTTCGATAAAATTTATTTTCTTTAAGAATGTTTAGTCACATGCGACCATTATGGAAAGAAATTTTACTATTCGTACAGGTAAATGTAACATAAATAGAAGTATGACGTAGAGCAAATGATGAGAGCCATAAAGTGTAGATAGAATAGGAGATGTCGAGCTATAGACTTTTGTGGATATGTCAGATTCTCATTCACAGTATAAAAATTAGAGTTTTAGATCTGGGGAAAAGAATGTAGCATCATGGAGTGTCGTAATACACGTTAGATATAGAGTATTGTCTAAAGCGAAATGACGTTAAAAGTTCCGGTATGTAAATTGATGAAGAATAAAATGTGAGTAGAATATATTTATTGCTATGCAGACGTGCACCATATACGCAGGTGATCGTAGATAGAATTCGTTTTTTTATCTGATGACGGGTGATATAATAACGTCCTACACCCTGTGCAATGTGATTAAAAGTTTAAAAAAACACTGTTTTCATATTTCGCTATAATGAGCCAATAAACATATGGGATAAAATATCACTTTTTCAAGCAAATAAGGCGATGATGGGTCATCAATAAAATAACCGAAAGAAGCAGGTAGGCGACGACTCAAGTCTCATTAATCATTATATCTCACGCACAAACAGATCCTGGTACAGTAGAATTGAGTTTCGTCAACATTTATCAAAACGAGAAATCGTATATGTAAAACACGAGATCGAATTTCTAAAGAAAGGTAATCTTCAGTAAAATGTGTATTGGGCATGCACAATAACAATTAGAAAAAAATAAAAGTATACATTGGTGTACGTAGAAAAGGAAAGACTCTCGATAAAATAATATTAAGTTTCAAAATCATGACGGTTCGAATATAAATCATAACCAAACATAAATAATTACATTGAAAACAGCAAAAACTCACCGAAATATTTCAAAAAAGCATATGCTTATTGAAAAACACGATTAGAACCGAATGTTTGTGATCGATGTGCTACAAATTTTGTAAAGAGAGATGTGAAATTAGAGATATTTTTTGTATATTGAAAAACTTTTTTAAAAGTCAATAAAATCAAAAACTGAAGCTCATTAGAAAGATAGAAAGTGTTTTCTTAGAGTATTAGCCACTCATCTTATTTTGTTATTGAATATTTTACAGAAAGAAACATTTAGTACATTTCAATAAATTTAGACTTTAAAAAAAGTCAGTTTTGAAACGTTAATATCTATATATCATTTTGAGATAATTATAGGTTTAATGAAGAAAGATGAGAGCTATCAATAACACTTATATTGTACTTAATATACATTTTCAATAACAATTTAACGTATTGTATAAAATGCAAATTCAATAGAGTAATTTTTGCTCGTCCGCTTCCATGGTAGAAAAATATGCATAAATCCTTTCAATCTATTGACAAAAAGCAGGCAAATCGCCAATAGTGCTTAAATTTATAAGTACCAACAAGTAGAAGTACTTGCTGTACTTGCACTCAATTTGCTATTGAATAAAACTCAACTTGGAAAATTTTACATATGTATTAATGCTAGTATTGATAATAATTGTTTTTATCCGTTACTATCCATTATCTGCATCATGTATTTTCATCGATCGGTGACATAAGACGTAGCGTTGTTTCGTCTATGAAATAAAGGACCAACATCGGATCATTCGAAAGAGCAATTTCAAAATGTGAACGGTTGTGAAACAAGTTGCATTTGCTCGGAGTTTACTATGACTGATATCGATTTGTTTGTATCACAATGAACTAGATTCAACTATTTGCAAACTTCTTAGCAAAAATCTGTTTTTGTTTGAGAGCAACTGAATTGACTGATTTCCTTGAAAAATGTGTGCACGGCTCCCAATAGTTTATGATGAAAATTTCCTCGAAAAGTAACTGACTTCTTCATAGAGGTATAACCCGAAGGGTCAAACGGCGGTGGCTGTTTTAATGGACCAATTTTTTTCCATGGCGGCGGCGCAACGGTTGAACTAACTTTTCACAGCGGCGGCGGCTAAAAAATTCGTAAAACCATCTCCGATTCCGTGGTGGCGGCGGCGGCGCAGCTGGATGGCTTACACCTCTGCTTGTTCGAGAGCTAATATAACATCATAGATCACAATGCAGGTCTCTGTGTGACGCAAATTACTCTTCCAAATAGGATGATACACATAGGAGGTTAGTTCCAGCATGTGCACAAAACCTACTACCACAGCTTGATAGAGCTTGGTTCGTAAAATTTTCTTTCTTTGCTTCTGATCAAATTTTTTGTCAAAATATTTCAACAAGTAAGAGCTGCCTCCATGGGACAACTTCATCTCGTTTGAAAATAAGTTAGAAGTACAAAACTTTGCTCTGTTAAACTATAGATCGACATTTACTCTTCAATTTGAAACTTCTTTAAGCTCCTTAATATGTAACCATGGGACGAACATTTTTGACAGAAGAACAGTAATTGCTTGAAAAAGACAAATTTAAAGAGAATCATGAAATTAGTTTTGAGAGTGAAAATTCATGTTCTCTTCATCATGAGAATCTTACGGAAAAAGTCATTTGGAAAATGTACGGAGCATATTTGCTGATGTATGTCAGTCATATTCTTTATGCAAGAAATCTATAGTAGAACTATTAAAGTTTTAACGACTGAGATTCACAAAATCCCATTCAAATGACGAGTTTTTCAGGAATAAGCCTGCAAATATTTGGATGCCGTCATAAAAACAGTGATTTATAGTGTGTTAGAAAGAAGGTATATTGGGCTGGTGAACCATGTTTAAAGTTCTAAAACTGGCAGTTGGGATAAAAACTGAAATTTCTGAAAGAAAGACCTAAAAGTAGCGAGCAGTTGATAAATCTTACCATTAACAAGTGGAAAAGTCTTGGAAGAGAAATATTAGAAATCTAGTCAGTATTATTGACATCAATATTTTTAACTATCAGAGTATACACTAAAGTTTATTTGATCATAAACGATTCTGATAAAGTTCAACAGTTGCAAAACGGAAGGTGTCCGAATGCCATGTCTCAGATTTGCATAATTGAATCATACAATCGAAATGATCATAAACTAGATAGGATCATAGTATAGTAATTTAGAACATGGCACTCCGAAAAATTCCTATAGGCTCTTTGAAGATTTTTTCGTAGTTCTGTAGAATCTGAAAGGTCTATTTTAACGTGAGTGACCAGTTTATTGAATATACAATAGCATATATATTGGTTTCTTTCAACAATATGAAAAGAAATAAAAAAAAAAAAAGAATAACTCATTACAGATTATTAAGCTATATTTTTGTTTCGATCATTAACTACCATCTCCTACGGTATTTATTTTAAATAAATAGGATTGATCGAAAGAGAATATAAGAAAATTTCTACGAAAATTGTCACGAATAAAATCAATTAATTTATACCTTAGAAATGTAGTGTTCAATTTTAGACGAACAATTAAATACGTGTGAAGTTGAATGTATTTATATTTTGGCTCAAAGATACGATTGATTAATAAAAGCTACACATTGATTTTACGAAACGTTTCTTCTTTCTTCTTGTGTTTTATTTATAAATGTGTAGTTACGTTTTCATGGAATGTTAGAAGGCATCATTGCCAATCATATCAGATATTTATTTTGTAAAGCAATAAATAAAAAGATGCAAAAAGAATCTCTTTAAAAAGACATTAACAGTTTATGATGATGTCAAATTTTGTAATGCTTTCTCAACAAATGGAAGAAGTTCAGGTATTGTTTCTTTATATTTTTGTACGATTTGTTCCATAATTATTTTATGATTTTCAATTGTATTTCGTGATTTTATATTTGCCGACGTTAATAAAATTCCATATAAAGCTCGTATATTATTTGGATTAAATTTGATAGTACTCAAATAATAAATTCGTGCGTTTTCATAATCACCTTGTGAATAACAAATTGATGCATAACGTTCATGATTTAAATGATTATGTGGATTAATTAATATAAGTTCTTCAGCACAAAATGCAGCTTTTGCATAATCATGTTCAGACAAATAAAGATCACATAATTCACTCCATGCTTCTTGGTCAATCTTAAATGACACAAAAGAAAAACAACGATAATAAATAAAAAATGAAATTGAGTAAAGTTTGATTTACTTGATAAATTTCTAAATATGAATTTAATTCACTAATTGCTTCATGTATTTTATTTTGTTCTTTTAAAAGAGATATTTTTCTTTTATGTATAATTGCATCTGTTTCATTATCTAGTAATAATGTCGAATAAATTTCTTCGGCTTTATTATATTCATCCATAGATTCATGATACATTGCTTGTAATACAAGTAAACGATGACTTGTTGATTTAAATTGTTTTCTTAATTGTTCAAGACAATCAACAGCAATTGATTGTTGAGAGCAATGTAATGCAGATTTAAATATTTGTTCAAGTATTAACCATTTTTCATCACCTAATGATGAAAGATTATGTTTTGATAATGTATTTTTCCATAATTCAATGACTTCATCGTGTAAACGATAATTTTCGTCACGATATTTACGAAGTTTTTCAACAGCAGATTGCATAGTTTTTATAATCAAAAGCAAAAATTAGACATACATCATCAATTGTTATTTTATATTAAATATTTAGAAAAAAGTGTATTGGTAAATGCAGGTAACCCATTAAATTTAAATCTGAACATTAAATTGATAGACAGAGTCATCTATCTTAAACCAATAAGTATCTTTCAATAAGAAAAGATGAGATAATATATTTGAGTTTCTTAATTTTTAATAGTAAATAAAACTTATTCGAACGAAGAAATCATTTAAAGTTTTACAATGACTTATAATACTGGACGTTTTTTTGATTGATACTTCGAAAGCAATATTTTCGAAGTTCTTCATGTTAAAAAATATATTTCTCGTTTGATGTAGACAGTCGAATAAAACTTTCATAAACCGTCACGAATGCACCACAGAGAGAAAAGTTTTGAAATAATTTTCTCTTTGTATGAAAGCATAAAAAACGACTTAAATGACAGCATTTTAACTTCACATTGTGTTTGCAGATGTTCGCATCAATTGATTCAGTTCAATTGTGTGAAAGTATAGTTGATCGAATTCTGATTTAAAATAAAATTCGAAATGCAAATATAGGATTTCTTTCTATTCCTGCAATAACAAAAATATGCGTAAGTTGGTTTTCTACTGAATGTGTATTCATATTAGAGGCTATCACGATTGTCGTCATTCACGTTTATCACGGCTACGATCGTGATCATGCCTTATATTTTTACAAATTCATGATGTGATTGTAATTGAAAATTGATCACGAACAGTGACGAGTACGAAAATAATCAGGAATCCTTTCTTACTTTTACCTGAATTAGATCTTTGACAAAATAAGTAGTCTGTTTTTTTTATAAATTTGTTTTTTCTCAATTGAAATACCTATACATAATCTTTGGAACTTTTTTAAGCTGACAATGAGTTCATTTCCTCAACTCATTCTCCGCTACAGAATTGACACAAGTGCATTAAAAATGCATTAACATAAATCTTTTCTGCTCATCAGAGAAAAAAAGAGATCTCCGTATGAGTGTATTTCCAAAGTTGTGACTTATAATACAATGAAATCGCCATGGGTTTCTATTCCATTTGAAATGGATATAGACAGTTGTTTATTTATCACTTGATAAGATAAGCTTTGTTGTTTAATATTGAAAATCTTGAGGTATGATTGTGGGTGTGGATGTATATGGCTGGATTTGAGTATGTGTTAGTTGGATAAAAACGTACTTGAGATAAAATTCAAATGTTTCCATCATAATTATTATGCTTTTTGAAATAAGTTCTCACTTCATAGACTCATTTTATTGGTCTCATTGAGGCCTACAAAGTACTTAAATATACTTTTTAGGCTTGGGCTTCATTCACCAAAACATTATGCACAAATACAGCAAGTATTTGCACTTGTTGATATTTATACATTCAAGTACAATTGGGAAATTTGCCTGCTTTTTTATCAACAGATTGAAAAGATTGATGCATATTTTTCTACCATGGAAGCGGACGAGCAAAAATTACTCTATTGAATTTGCATTTTATACAATACGTTAAATTGTTATTGAGAATGTATTTTAAGTAGAATTATAAGTGTCATTGATAGCTCTCACCTTTCCTCATTAAATCTATAAATACCTGAAACTGATACATCGATACTAATGTTTCAAAACTGACGTCTTTAAAGTCTAAATTTATTGAAATATACTACATGCGTCTTTATGTAAAATATTCAATAACAAAATAAAATGGGTGATTAATACTCTTAAAAACACTTTTTAACTTTATATTGAACTTTATTTTCTGATTTTATTGACTTTTGCAAAAGTTTCCAATTTACCAAAAATATCTCTAATTTCATGTCGCTCTTTACAAAAGTTGTAACACACCGATCACAAATGTTCGGTTCTATTCACGTTTTTCAATACGCGTATGTTGTTTTGATACACTTCAACGGTATTTTGTTGTCTTCAATGTGATTATTTATGTTTGGTTATGATTTCATATATGTGAAAATTGAAACTTGAATTCAGTTCACCTTTCAACTATGTGCATGTAACAGTTCAACGCCTTTCTTATATTCTTAAAAACCTATAAAAGTATTACAAACACTTAAATCATGTTGTACTCCCACTCGAATTTGACTAATTTTACTTCTATTTTCACCTCAGGCTGAAAAACGAGAATGTGTTTCTATGGCACTCGCATTGAGACAGATGACGTGTATATGTGTCATTCTGTGACACTCATACCGAGAGAGATACGAGCGCGGGTGCGTTTCTGTGACACCAACATCGGGAGAGGTGTGTGTTTGAAAGTTGAAATTTGTAATTTGAAACTTCAATTTACTTTAGCTTTCAAGTTTGACGTACATAGATTTCCTTTCATTTGTTTATCGCATTAGAGGCATGAAGCAGCCTTATAATTGTCTTCACTTCGTTGTGTTTTTATCTGTTGAAAGGAACTGTGAACAATAAATGCGAAAGTCGTGTTAATGGGAGATGTGCACAGTTATCCAAATATTTTTCTTTATTCTTAGCACAGATAGGAAAGCATTTTTTCAACTTTTATACTACTTATCAGACATGCATTTTAACATTAACTTTCTACTTCCCAATATTCGAATACTTCCGCGTACACTGAATGAGAAATAGAATTTGTCACCACATTTCGAATAGAAAAAGAGCAAAATAGACAGAAAATAAACTCTATTTTCTGAAAATAAATTAAACTTGACAAAACAATTTACTACTATCCACAAAATGTTCCGATGATGAAGATATTTCGTGAATAATAAAAGAATATCAGCGACAAGAAAAACTTCAATCTATGGATTTCAAAACATTCAGTCCAATGGTTTTTCATTATTCTTATAGACGAATGAGTACAAACACCGATCTTCATCAAATGGTACTCAGATCAATGGTGTCCACAAGTTCTTCCATTACAAGTGGTTCTTCTTCTTATGACATTGTAACAAAACGTTCATTATCAATTCGCCCCAAGACCAGTGTTGATCTAGTGTCAATCCCTGAAAATGCTCCAGCTACACTTTCATTTCATAACAT